ATACACCCTCTTCCTGGTCTAAAGCCTGCCTGGCTCTCTCGTGTTTGTGCTTCCCGAGCACCACTCAGTCTACGCATGATTATTGAGCCTAAGACTTTAGATACTATATTAGTCAAGCTAATCCCTCTGTGATTATCACAGGAAGACTTGTCTCCCTTCTTGTATATGGGGATAATCAGTGACTTACACCAACCCGATGGGACTTCTTCTGATTCCCAGACGCTGCCTAGTACCTCAGTTAATCCGGACAGTAAGCTGTCTCCACCGTACTTAAATACCTCTGGAGTCATTCCATCAGGTCCCGCTGCTTTGCCTAGTTTCAGATTGGTGACAGCTTTAGTAACCTCAGTTAGTGACGGAGGACCTGTGTCTATATCCCATTCAGGGAGGTGTTGGATGCTCGGAAGGTTGAGCGTGGCTGTGGGCAAATTAAACTGCTCCTCATAATGCTCTTTCCAACGATCCAGTCGTCTATCCTGTGAGCTAATTATAGTGCCATTTTTTTCCGAGATTGTCTCACTAATGATTTGTCTTCTCCCACCCGTTTCCCTGATGAGTCCAAAGAGTTGCCTGGTGTTGCCTATCCTCAAAGCTTTCTCCATCTCTTTGGCTTTTGTCGCCCACCACTGTTCACGGTCCTTGCGGAGACTTTTCGTAAGTTTCCTCTTGTGCAGCTTTCGCTCCTCATTGAATTCGGAGCTCGCCGGAATAAGTCTTCTAGCATCTATCAGTTCGGATGAGGCGGTGGAGATCCAGTGGTTTTTACTCACCTTTGGGTTTACCTTATTCACAGCTTTTACAGCTGTATCTATGGCTGCCTGGATATTTTTCCAAGCTTCTTCAGGGTGAGCACAGCTGTCGAACACAGATATGTGTTTAGCTAGTTCTTCCTGAAATACGGATTTAGTTTCCTGATCGAGCTGGGGACGTGATGGTTTTACCGCCAGCTGTTTCCTACGTCCGTTCAGTCGTAAGCACACCCGAGCGCGGACCAGTGCATGGTCGGTATCTACGCACGTGTTCCAGAAGGAGCGACAATCTCCTACCGACCCACGCCAACGATAGCTTATTGCTATGTGGTCTATTTGTGTCCAGCGTTGGTTTGATGAAGGGGGTCTCCAAGTCAAACAGTGTCTCTCCTTGTGTTTAAAGTTAGTGCTTACAAGAAACAAATGATTATCAGAGCAGAACTGTAGGAGACGGTCACCGTTGTCGGTTCGCTGGCACGGAACTCCATAGGTGCCACCGACATCCTTCTCAGATTGACACAATTTCCCTACTTGAGCGTTAAAGTCACCAGCTAGAACGACTATGTCTGAGCGTTTAGCCTTTCCACCAAACTAGACAGCTTTTGGTAGAACTCATCCTTCGTTTCATCTGAACTGCAGTCAGTGGGGGCGTAGGCGGAGATTACGAAAAGGCATCGGCGAGTAGTGCAGTCCTTCCTCCTTCTTACTGATCCGTTCAGGCGGACAGCACACATTCGGCTATCTACCGGGATCCAGTCAAGCAATGTCTTTTCTGCCCTAGTACTCAAAGCTATCCCTACGCCAGCTAATCCTCGTGAACTAGCTGTGGCATCTCCTGACACCCTCAAGGTGAATTTTGCAGATTCAACCTGTTGGCCAGGTGGGGTTAGGTGAATAACCACACTTGGGTCTTGTATGCGTGTTTCTGAAACACAGCATACATCAATGGCTCGTGATGCCAGGGTCTTGGCTAGTGATGCTTGTTGTCCTATTTGGCAAAGTGTCCTAACATTAAGAGCTCCTATATGAAATTGGTGGCGCGGCTTTAAGAGGCTGTCGGTGGTGGTTTTTTGGCTTCCATCGTTTTTAGTGGACGCAGAGTGGAGAGGAAGTGGAGAGCTATCAAGTCGAGGAGTTGCATCAGTGGAAGGAAGGCAAGATGATAGAGATGAAGATGAAGACAAAGATGAGTGAGTAATAGAGAGGTTTCGTGTGCATTTCGGATTGTGAGGGCGATTGTTACTTCCCGGCTGCCCACACCGTGGAAGTTGGTTGCGTGACCGCAGAGCCCAGGGGACAACTGCTTGAGGCCGGTCACACGCGGCCTGTTTTTGTTGTTCTTTTTGTTTGGTGTGTCTCAGTAGCAGATTTATCACTCCCGCCCTGTGACACGGCAGCAGGAAGCGCGGTCAAAAGGAGTTATCAAAAGGAGTTATACGTCATTGCCTCAAATCCATGTGTGCACTACTCTTTTATATCGTTAACTTGTAACGACGGGAGACAAGGGCCGCCAGGCAACAGATCGTTTATTGAGAAAATCAACACATATTTATATATACATTGTACATGTACATTATTATTTGTTACTATTAGCAGAGAAACAGCGTCTTCCGATTGCTTGTTTCCTCGCTGTCATCTCCTCATCTCATCCTCTGTCATCTCCTTGCAGGCGCTTCTTTCAAAGTCAGACAATATATATGCGAACTGCATCCGCCCACTCAAAGTCTGCTGTTATCAGTTGTTGAGTTAGTCTTTGTTCGAGTTTTCTTCTCATGACCAAGACCTGGGATGTAAATATTGACGTAAATTGCTGTCTGCCAATTTTGGCTAGCAGACAGCTCTCACCACAAAGTAAGTGATTAACGAAAAGTGACTATTAGTGCAACAAAGTATTCCGTTTCAACTTGTGGTCAACGACATTTTCTATTTTGATGAAGAAATCCAACGATAGGGAGATTTATCCGCTTCGTGGAGACTTGCATACTGCCTACAAAAACTGTAGTGAAGTGTCTTGAAGAAATTCTCAGTAATTCTGTTGACGAAAAAATGTCGTGTTTACGACCACGATAATTGTGAGGGTAAACTTGAAGGTGGCATCTTTTTCTCCGCATTTCGCTGGTCAACATAGTCACCAAATAAACTGACATATGTTATATATTGATTGTATCAACTAATGTGCATCCAGAATCAAGATTGGTATTCGATCTTCCACAGGACTGGACTACATTAACTTCTAGCTTAGAAATAGGGAGTGAAGTCGTTGGTGGAGCATGTTGACCACTTCACTTATTTGGGAAGTTGTGTCAGCCAGAGTCAATAGGTTGGTCGCTGACGAAATCTCAGCAGGGATACAGAAGGCTGGTTTCGCATATGCCAGTTTACAACGCTTCTGGCTTAGTAGACGTGATATCTAGCTGACTGTCAACCAAAGGACGTGTGCAATGCTCAGGAGTCCGCTTCGTCCTCCTTTATGTCTAGCTGTGGGACCTGGCCGCTGAGATTATTGGAAGACATGAAAAGCCTGGCCGGATAGCTGTCTTTGATCATAGATGACTCCGTTCAATCTCCCGTGTGAAGTGGTATAACAAGGTGAGCAATATTGAGGTGAGGCATCGGTCCAGTGCTAGGTAAGTGAGGTGGAAAATCAGTAGACGAGACTGTAAAGTAACATCGATTGAGATGGTTAGGATATGTGTTACGTATGCCTAGCCATCACATGCTCCCACAATGGGCAATGTAGCTGATATAGGGTCAGACTGGAAAGGAACTACCGGTGGTCAAACCAAACCAGGGCTTCATCAGTCAGTCAATGAAATCCACAACAGTCAGTTTAAGCCACATCAGGTGTAGATTTCGTAGTTGGGGTCATCGGGACGGTAAACACCAATGACTGGAGACAATCGGTGATACGGCTCAAAGTGATCGTTCTCAATGGCTGGCGCAGATGCATTCACTCCTTGGGACTTATAATATCCAATGAAACTATATTGTTTTTCGATATTACTATTCTTTCTCCTTCACATCCCTGTTTATTATCTCTGTTTTAAATGTTTTTTTGCTTCTTTCTCTTGCTTTGTGTGCTGTATACAGGGAGTGTGGCGACTTTAACTGCTGCACATCGGTGCAAAGTTCTATGTTGAAATCAGTCAGTCAGGCCAGAGCTGGATCAGTTATCGTGAGGGGATCACCACCATCAAGTACAACCTCCACTCTTCCAAAGGCATGCTACCGGCTGAGCGACGTTTAGGAGTGCATCGGCTGAACATAAAACCTAGGACCAAGTACATAGTCAAAAGAATAGCAATGGATTACAAGCAAAATTATTTAAAGCTGACAAAAATAAACAGACCAGTGAAACAGACCGGATAAACCACTTCTGTGTACAACATTCTCGGCTGTTTCTTCTGCGCATTAACAACTTTCGATGTGGAAAAACGCACACTCAAGAGCCACTCCGACAAATTTCACTGAAGATTTTTTTCCATTAAATTCGGAATATGATTTGTAAGAACAAGAGTGCTGAAGTATCGAGTAGTTGGTTTGTCCACTTTCTCTTTACTCTATATAAATATCCTGAATTTGTTTATCCTATGCATAATAGCTTGAAGTTTCTTTCACTGGTAGTCATTTCTCAGCGATACTCAACCAATTCATGACTTCAGATTACGCACGTAATTTACTTAATTTACTGACAGAAATTTTCATGTGTTCGGTTACCAAATGATGTTGTGCGTCGGTGGGACAACGGTTAAACGCTTATTAACCACACCTCAGGTGGTCCGGGGTTCAATCCCCGGATACTCAACCAATTCATGACTTCAGATTACGCGCGTAATTTACTAAATTTCATGTGTTCGTGATATGTATCCACATATATATATTTATGTGTGTGTATGTTGGTCTCTCTTTCTGTTTGCTCGCTTAGTCTGTGACCATTTCACTTGTATGAACTTGTTTCCTTTAACAATGTATATTCTCCTCATATTATATTATATTATATATAATAAGAGTGTTTGTTGACATGTCTGTTGTATTTCGCAATGTAAATATGGATCGATACTTCATTATAATTAGCCATTCATGTTAAGACTGTCTAATGATTTGTCTGGAACATTTCATATATATATTTTTGCATGCACAATATTGTGTGAATTTACTTACTTACCACTTTGGTGTGAGACCATTTATTTTCGTCTCCTTCTGTTTGGACAATAGAAGTATCATCCGCCTTCTTGTGTCAGGACTATTAGTTTCTCGACCAGTCCATAACAATAAACTAGAGACGAGTACATAAGAGTTCGGTTACCAAATGATGTTGTGCGTCGGTGGAAAAACGGTAAAACGCTTATCAACCACACCTCAGGTGGTCCGGGGTTCAATCCCCGGACGACGGACGCACTCCTCTACCTCCCTAGGCCAGGAATCAAACTGGTATACAGAGGGAAGATTGGGCATTAGGCTACCAACTCCATACCACATATAAATAAACAGCAGTGCTATGTTCCGTTGGGAACGTAAAGGAATAAACCATCTAACCTTTTCATCAAATATTGTATATGCATAACTGTACAACTTTGAAGCGAATTTACGAAAAGACTATTCTTCACTGGCTGACACCTAACGACATGAATATTGTCCTTACAAGTGAAAAAGGCCATAAGTTGAAAGCATCACAAAAACAATAAAAGAGACGCAGATATTTTCTCACCTTGATGAATTGCTGCCACATGTTGCCTAACCTGAACTTTTGAGGCGAATTTTTTATCACATTGTTCACAAGAAAAACCTATGCCTATATAAAAATAAAAACAGCAAAATAATAATACAACAGGGAAAAACATTAAGCCAAGAAAATTACGTAACAAGCACGATTGAATGGATAGTATACACTAGAGAAAATAATTCATTAAGAGTTCGGTTAGTAGTAATGGTCGACAATAACTTAAGTAGCTGAAGAGAACAGATTTTACCCACACCGATGACATTATCACCGATCTAATTATGTAGGATTAGTCTGAAAAGAAAAGAAGGCGGGAGGAGGATTAACATGAAATGACATAATTCTGTGAAATCCTAAGCAGTCAACACAGTGTACCGAGGAGTCCCAAACAGTCTGGAATGTGCATCATGCGTTCCATTGCCAGTCACCATTGAGGTTAATTATCAAATATTGGCGAAGCACCCACACAAGGAGCCGACATATCAACAGAGACCGAACATTTTGGTCGAATCAAAATCGTACTAAAAGTAAGCAATAATTGATACCGATTGCGCAAGACGTGGTGGCCCAAGTGGTTCACTGGTTAAGGCTTTAGCGTTTCAAATGACGCGTACTGGTGTTCGATCCCCAGTGGGAAAAACATCCTACTCACTGCGCAATGCACGTAAATCCACCTGACAAGTCCCAAATACAACGAAAAGCAAATCCACTCAACAAATTACTTCAAGTGTCCTTGTGATGTTCAAGAAACTTATTGGCAGAAGATTCGATGAGATGGAAGGAGAACAGAATACAATAATATAAATAGATATTTGCATCATCTTTAAAGCATACAATACCCTCTATGCATTTTCACTGAAGTACTCATTATTGATATTATTTCATGCTCACACATTGTGAAATACATCAAATAAAGTATAATTATACTTCAGTAGTTTGCACACAATGATAACTTTTGTTATTGGTAATATTTCGAGCAAAATTACTGCCCGTGATCACACATCAACTGTATTGGAATTGTTTGGTTTGTTTGAGTTCACACATTTATGATTTGTACTCATCCATAAATAGTTCATTATTTCTTTCTCCATTCATTTTTGTGTATTCAGAATTATATTCCAGGTTGTTGACAGTTGTGCTACTGAGTCACTCTTGTCACGTGCATCTGGAGTGATCTTAATCAATATAGATTCGGTTGTAAGTCTCACTTTCCTTTTGTTCGTAGTAGTTTTCAGAATACAAACATTGTTCCAATCAATATTCTGACTTTTGTTCCATGCATGTGCAGCTAGACATGAATTTTATTCTAAATTCTTGTAAGCTTGTGTTCCTTCCTGTTGGTTGACCTTTAGTTAGGCGTTTATCATCATCATCATTCACTCTTATTTTCAGTGATCTGAACGTTTGACCCACACATTGAGTCGGACACTCGACACAAGATATTTTGTAAATTACATTACTACTTTTATCCATCATTTTTATTGGATCTATCAGTTGGTTTATTTTATTTTAAATTAGATTCGTTGGTTTAAACGTGATGCGAATCCCCATACTTTCCTGAGGTTTCTTCCAATCGCCTCTGATATACCATTTTTCTATGGTATTCTGATCGTCTTTCCGCCATCCTCCTACGTGTCATTCTCTAGTTTTACCCTCTTTTTCATATTATTTATGATAAATTCGTTTGGGTAGTTGTTGTCGAGTAACACTGTGAATAAGACGTTTATTTCTTTACGCTGGTTCTCTGTTGTTGTAGTTGTTGTTGTTAGTCTACGTATTCTATCTGCAAGACCTTGTATTAATCCTCGTTTTACCGTGAGTCCATGGGGCTGAGTGATAATGTGTAGTTTTTTTTCTATACAGAGTCGTTTTTATGCTACCTACCATCTGTTACTCTTTGTACTTTGCAGTCTAACACACCCAGTTCCTCAATTTCATTCTCTACTTCCATATTGTGAATTCTACTCAGTTCACAGGATTGTTTATGTGTGTAAGCAGAATTTCCCAACATTGTTCCCTGTCATTATTACTAACGTATTGTCGTCTACATATCTCCACCAACATTTTATTGATGACCTGAATGGTTTAGGTGCATTCTTTTCGCGAAAATCCATGAATATGTCAGCTATTATTGGTGAGATGGGCAATCCCATGGCTACTCCTCCTTCATTTTGTTGGTATATTCTTCCTTCAAATTTAAAATATGTTCTTGTGAGACGGAATTCAACCTCTTTTATGATCTCTTCTACGGATAATCGTGTCCTGTCTTTCAGGTCATTATCTTCGTCTAGTCTCGTTTTCAGTGCATCCATGACCATCTGAATGGTTATTTTCAGTATAGACTGTTTACATCAAAGGCGACTGGTATTTCCTCTTCGTATATTCTAATGCCTTTTAGTCCTTACACTTACTCAAATGTCTGTCTGTCTGTCTGTTTTTGACATGGAACTTTCCAGATATGTTCGGCAGTTCAAGTCGCCACACTCCCTCTTTGTAACACACAAAGCAAGAGAAGAAAGTACAAGAAATGCATAATAGACACAGGAAACAGGGATATGAGGCATAAGGAATAATAACAACGAAGAACAATAGAGTCTCACTGGAAATCATAAGTCACAAGGAGTGGATGCATCTGAACCGGCCAGCCATTGAGAACGATCACTTTTAGTCGCATCACCAATTGTGACACGGTAGCAGGAAGCGCGGTTGTTGTTATTCCGGGCCCCGACCGATTCAGCATTATATTTTGTGAAATTTTTTTCGTCATATTATTCGATTTTGTAGTTGCTTTTTGTCTAACCGCTGTGCGATCAACCGATCTGGGATGGTAGGACCTCAAGAGACATAAGTCTGAGCCAGTAGAGCTTGTTGGGACATTGCGGTTTTCGAACCCGACCACCACGTCAAGGTAGCGATTTCGGTCGGGCAATGGTTCTCTAGGCGATATCAATCCGTGATCAATTTGTGAAAACAAAACTAATCCTTGCAAACCAACCTATAGAAAATTAATTATTATTATTAAATGAATAATTTGAAATGTATAATCAAGTCGCGAGAACAGGTTACACATATAATTATTACATAAGTAAGAATTTGTAACATATACCACATTCGATGTACATCAGCCTTCCACCTTCGATGAAACGTTGACACATACAGATAGTTAACTTCGTTAAACTGGTTGACGTGTTATCGTTAATATTACTAAAGTAGTCATTCACAATCACAGTTATTGTCAATATGGCACGTACACCCATTGTGGAGAAGTAAGCAAATTTACAAGCTTGTAAAAATTTTCCATCTTTGTCAAACCACAGTATTGTTTTCCAGTATGAAGTTCTGGCTGACTGATCTGATCTACGTGTGTACGACTTTCAACAGGTGAATCACACTAGCACTGTAGATAAAGCTTAATTTGGTAGAGTATCACAGTGTTATACAGTAATATTTACTCATGACCACCTTCCGAGTACAATTTTTATTGCCCATAATCATATCAAGGCAATACTCACACAACTTTGTAATTTCGTTTATGTAATTCCATTATTTTTCCTCGCTTGACTTGACTGGTAGTAGTATTTTCCATATTTCCAGTATAAATGATGAGTCATCCCTATTGCATGTGCTGTGTTGGGTGCAGATTCGACAGACCAGGATTTGCTCAACAATCTCTCAAGCTCTCCACCTACCTTTATTACGTTTTAGAATTTTGACTCTGTCCCTCACACCCTATTGTGTGGTTGTGTATTAATGCATGCATTGCAATTTCTGAACGTTTTGTTCAATTTACTTGTGTTTGTGGAGTCAATAATTGTAACGTTAGCTAAATTCTTATGTTCCGACAATCTGAATGTTCCCAATCTAATACTGGTTTGACCTATGTAGTTGACCTAGGTCAGTGGAATTATTCTCCACCATAGTGCTCAAGTCCTATTCGTATATCAGTGAGTTACAGGTTCGAAACACAGTCTATCGAACGAAGGTTAGGCAGTAGAGCACTATTCAAAAGGACTTATACAATGACGTGTGGCTTATTGTCAAATGCACCGAATTGTAGTTGACTGATTTGAGCTTCCTTTGTCGCAGGATATTCATTAGTTAAATGGTCGATACAAAACATAAAATAATTTAGGCATGAGGTTGATCATACTCCGTTTCATGTTATCGAATTCGCACGAATGACAATTTCACTGGCTTATCGTGGAGGCCATATGATTACAAATAAGTCGATAGATAGAAGATGAAGAAAGACTACTATGAGAGGAAGATGATAAAATACTCAGGTCAAATATAAACACAGTCGAATTACTTCTCTGTTGACAGGATTATCATTCTACATCTAGGGCACTAATCCCGTTGTCAGTTAAGGTTGACTTTGTGATTAAGACTAAGGCAGTTCAAACATACATGATCGACTATATGCAATTTAGTCACACAAGTGTTCTTATTCGTTAGTGAACGTTATTTGATAGTTCATTGATTCACTATTATTATAATTGTTTCCTTGGGTTCCGAATGGAACACAGGGTTACAACAGAACATCTTCACATTGGCCTATTCTCTCGAGTCCTCTTCAGCTGGTCGCACATACTTCCCACCTTCTCCTCACACGGTCTCCTCTATGTCACCCTCACACCCACGCCCGATTCGTCATTTCCCATTTGCGTTCCAATCGATTACTGGCCTGCATTTAGCGCGATGTCATTCGACGTTCTCCTCAGTGACGTGTTTCCAGTCCCTCTCTGCTTGCTTCCACATAATTATTAGGCAGTAGATTTCTGGATAATTTATTCCCATAGTTTCTTATAGCTTATTGCTTCTGGCCAGCCATTTCACCTTCAGTATGGGACCAGCGAAGGTAGATGTTGACATAAATCTGCAACAGATTATAGGGAAAATTTTCCACAACGCGCTTGACTCATTTATAAGTGATTGACTCAACATTGGTGCTGAAAATCCGGATTTGCTGTTGATGCTGAGGCGGATTTCAGAGTGCTTCAAAACTGATTTCAGGGAGATGAAGGTCTGCCTAACGTTTCCGATTCTGGCTTTCACATCGTACTCTGTCTATA